AAAAAAAAAAAAAAACACTTCCTGAACAGAAAAAAAACCCCAGACCAGTTCCTCTGTCCACCATACAATGTAGTATATAGGAAATTCACAATTATATTAAAAGTGGATTCATTAATCTGACATTGTACAATCTTTCTGTACATACTGCAATACTGTATCCAATTCTGTAATAGTCTCAATCCCACTAGAAAGCCTGAAAACATCCAAGGAAGCTGCAAAATGACAATTTAAAATAAATATGATAATTAAAATGCTTAAATGGCTTTTGCCATTAAAATTGCCTTTAATTCTTTAAAAAGAGTTTTTGCTCTTTCAAAATGTGCATGACATTATATCAAGGTGCAATTTTTGTCCTTCATAACATCTCAGCTGGTCAAGACAATCTGAAAGAGCCAAACCAGCTGTTGTAAATAGTGATTCACCACAGCAATTCGAAAGTAAACAAAAAAAGTAAACAAATATCCTATTGGCATTCTTTCTGAATGTAGGCCTATATTATTATTTTTTCCTTATCTCTCTTTGGCTGTGTCATTGTGCAAACAGTGCACCACACCTAGGCCTAAGTCTTAGACTAACTCGAGCATTTACATGATTTAGTCATCGTTAACTTTTAGCCTGCCTCAGATACTTTGACACACACGCACATTAACTGAGAGGAACCTTATTATTTACGTTACCATAGCTGGATATGAGCATCGTGTTGATGTAACTATGTCACCTACTGTTTGTCACTTGATGTAACCTAAAAAAGAAACAAGATGATCACAACCATTGCGGCTAGTGAAATATAAGCAAGGATGACAGAGTCGTATACCAACAATGGCCACATGATGGCAGCATTATAACAGCAAAATTAAGAGCGCCTGTGAGTCGATGGCTCAAATCTCTTTTAAGGTGCTATATTGAGAAAAAAGAGAACCTATGAAGCCTAATAATTTGCATAAAAGTTCTAAGCTGACCCCTTGAGTGGTAGGCTATATATGGTGACATAAAACCACACACACACACACACACACACACACACACACACACACAAAATATGATAATTAAAATGCTTAAAAAATGGCTTTTGCCATTAAAATTGCCTTTAATTCTTTAAAAAGAGTTTTTGCTCTTTCAAAATGTGCATGACATTATATCAAGGTGCAATTTTTGTCCTTCATAACATCTCAGCTGGTCAAGACAATCTGAAAGAGCCAAACCAGCTGTTGTAAATAGTGATTCACCACAGCATCCCAGCTGAATTCTGGAAATGCACACCTTCGTAGACTGGTCTCGAGTTGTTCACTCTCCATCCCGTGCTCTTTGCTCTCAACCACAAGAGCCTTGATGAGGTTCTCATATTGCTGCAGTAACAGCTCATCTGATGTGGCGTGGATCTGTTCATACATCTCCCTCAATTCATCCCACTGCCTGCAGACACACAAGCAGCACAATACAATATATACGTGAAAAGATAAAAAAAAAAAAATAATAATAATAATAATAAAATCCAGTTGTGAAGGCAGATATTGGCATGATTGACAAAAAAACAAAACAAAACAAACAAAAAAAAAACACCAACGTTTCTGAAGAGTCATTTTGATGTTTTTGTTTAAATAAAATCCAGTTGTGAAGGCAGATATTGGCATGATTGACAAAAAAACAAAACAAAACAAACAAAAAAAAAACACCAACGTTTCTGAAGAGTCATTTTGATGTTTTTGTTTTTTTAAGGTCAAAAATGTTTTAGTGGGGTAACCATCCAGAAATTATAAACGGGCCTACCCCTCACAGGAAACTTTCTGCATTTTTAGATTTTCTAAAAACTTCATTCTGTGTGATTTATTAGCTTGTTTACCCGTGGGGACCCAGGTGAAAAAGACGTAGTATTAAATGTAATAAATAGTATTAATAAATAGTATTAAATATACTTGAAATTCAAGTAGTATGTTTATAATACATTTGTAT